CGATTGCAGTTTGCATTCGAATTTCGTAATCGCGAGTCCCAAAAAGGTTCGCACCTGGTGTTGCGCATGGTTTGAAAATGGTGTGGCATTTACAGCGAGTTGGAATTTTCACTTTTTGTTGGGTGCAGTTTTTTTTTTCTCTTTACAGTTATCAAACATTGATCACGGAAAATGTGGGAAGGTGTGAATAATTAAGTTGTCAGCTATGATTTAAAAAATGTCTTACGATTAAAAATGTAGTCAAATGATTGAATTGAAAAAAAAATCAGAATCAAGCAAAAAGCATATCGATATCTATCTGAACTAAATGAATCATTTCAAAGCTCTCCATATGGAGCATACGTTTTAAACAAATCTAGAATTGGTCCTTACTTAAAAGGGAATTTGGACCATTTATGAAACACCTGCAAGATCTCGAAGATACGATTGAGATTGGGCGAATGGAAAATATGATAGGACATGCAGTGGCGGCGTTTCGACTCGAATATTTGGGGGCACCTCCTGGATTTGATAAATAAGTCATACATTTATGCTTAATTAGCATAAAGTGCACTATGTTTTTTTTTAAGGTATAATAATTGATGTTCATCTCATCTATAATCTCATATCATAATCTAATGAGAATGACAAAAAATGCTTTAAAGTATACATTACAATTATCAGGAAACAGACCTAATGCATTGTTCGGCTTAATTTCTTGTTCTAATACCCGACCCCTCCTCCTTTCTATGTTAGATGTAGCAATAAGGTCTGTATCCACATTAATCCAGACACCTTCAATTCACTGTAACTTTTGAAATATTGCACGTAGGAGTGAAAAATTTCACTGAGGTATAGCTGGGAGTCATTGTTGAAAAAGACTATGATTGGTGTTTACATTCCATGGTTAGTGTTCAAGATGGCGACGAATGAAAAACACGTGCGCGAGCGGATTTTGTACGGATTTGTCAATATGGGAACTTGCAACAAAATTGGATTTACCTAAATACACTGTTCACGGTGTGTTCAAATCATTTTCGGAAAGTTTGACGAGGTCGAGAGGAAATCGAGAAGTCTCGATGAACATTTCAAATTGTCCTATCTGCTTTGATCGATTCTCTTCATCGACTTTCTCTTTTCATAACCACTGCTATGCAAACAGATTTCGCGCTAATTCTACCACATAGTCCATTTAAAATAGGACCATTTGAAATGTTCATCGAGAAGTGATGAAAACATTGGACATGCTGATCCTGTCATGAACCGAAAGGTGAAGAGGATATTGAAGGAAAACCCGAATCTCTCTTTTCGAACGGTGGCTCGTAAAATAGGAATGTAACCTGGTTTGTGTGTGTGTGTGTGTGTGTGTGTGTGTGTGTGTGTGTGTGTGTGTGTGTGTGTGTGTGTGTGTGTTTTTATAGTAAGGAAAGCTTCAAAAACCTGGCCTGTCACTGTGTTGCGTGTGTGTTCTCCTTCTGGCACAGTGTGGGACTCTTAACAACTAAAACCTTACTCGCCTCTAGCCACTATCCCCCCGGAACTCCCCTAGAGTATTTCATCGTGGGGGCTGTGCTTAAGAACTTCAGCTAGCCGGCGTTGATAACTCGCTAATCATCTCTTCATTTTCGCCGCAGCTCCGACAAAGTTTGCGTCACTGCCCTGCTGACGACGCTCCACGTCCTCTCATCCCGGCACATTTCACTGACGACATTTCCCGCGCTAAGGGCCGGCATCTCCACTCGCACTGCCTCAAATCTTGGGCAGTCGAAAACCACGTGCTCCGGCGTTTCGTCCACGTTGCCACACTCCGGATAGAGGGGTGACGTTGCGTGTCCCAAGCGATGCAGATACTTCCTGAAGCAGCCATGACCAGGCAGGTACTGCCACTTCCGTTTTGTGGTGGGCTATCTGCAGCTTCACTCCTTGCATCAAGTTGGAAACCGTGTCGATCGCCTAGGTTGCCAGCATTTCCACCTCTTCCAACGTCTCGTCTACTACCGCCAAGACGACGTCGTCCGTAAATCCTACGATCTCGACTCCTTTGAGCAGCTTCAGCGTTAGCACGCCGTTGTACATCGCGTTTCAGAGCGTTGGACCAAGGATGGAGCCTTGTGGAACACCCGCCGTGATCCGGATTGATTTCTCTCCCATGTCCGTCTCGTAGACTAGAACCCGGTTCTGGAAGTAACTCCTTATAATGCTACACTCCAAGTAGCATTGCAAGTTTTATCGTGGTTTTATAGCATTCTACAAGCCTAAATGATGGTCTTCAGAACCCTAATAAAACCCAAATTGTTACATGGGACAGGTAATCAGGAACCCTCATTCCATGCAGTGCTTCGGCGATGGCCTCCCAGCTGGCGCTGTTGAATGCGTTCTTCACGTCGATCGTTATCACGGCGCAATATCGATCTCCTCTCCGCTTCTGTTTGGACGCTTTCTCGGCACTCTCGACCACTGTCCGAATTGCATCCACCGTTGATCTCCCTTTCCGGAATCCGAACTGCCTCACCGGCAATCCGTGCTCGCTCTCCGTGCATTTCGTTAGCCTGTTGAGGATGATCTTCTCCAATAGCTTTACGACTGTATCCCCTGGCGGTTTTCCAGGTTTCGACAGCAGCACTAGGTTCTGTATCTTCCATCGGTCCGGGAAGTGACCTTCATCCAGACACTTCTGCAGCACTATCCTAAACATGTCCGGGAACGCCTGGATCGCCGCCTTCAACGCCACGTTGGGGATTCCATCCGGACCGGGAGCTTTCTTCGTCTTCAGCTCTTTCGCCACTGCTACGAGTTCCTCGTTGGAGACTTGTCTACCTTCGGTGTTGTCTGCCTCTGCCTCGCCGTACGGTGTAGGTGGCCAGGTCATTTGGTCGTGCTTCGGGAAAAGTCCCTCCACGATGAATTTCAGCTTGTCTGGGTACATTTCAACGGGCGTTGTTGGACGATAATCTTCGCCATCGCGACTCGGTATGCTTCACCCCAGGGGTTGGCATCAGCGTCTCGGCACAGCTACTTGAAGCAGTTTGACTTGCTCAGCTTTATCTCCCGTTTTAGAGCAGCCCTGGCCGCTCGAAACACCATCCTTCGCTCTGCTCTGTCTGCATCAGTTCTTGCTCTCTGAACGCGCCTTCTGGTTCGGAGACAACTAGCGCGAAGGGTGCTAAGTGCCTCGTTCCACCAGAAAGCTGGGCGCCGTGTGTTCTTTGGCTCCGATTTCCTCGGTATGGTTGTGTCACATGCCCTCGGTAACGATTCGGTCAACTCGTCCGCGCTTTAGTCTGGGACGCTGCTGTCTAACCGGAGAGCTTCTACAAAGAGGTTCTTGTCGAATGTCTTCGTCTTCCACCTCCGCTTGTTTACTTTCGTTTTCCACATTGCCGTAGGTATCCGTTGACCAAAGCTGTACCTAATCGCCTGATGGTCACTATGAGTGTACTCCTCACACACTCTCCAGTTCATACTTGCCACTAACGACGGACTGCAGAAAGTGACGTCGATAATGGATTCCCTACCATCTTTGCGGAAGGTGCTGATGGTTCCTTTGTTGGCCAGACTGACGTCCAACTTTGCCAGAGCTTCCAGCAGGCTATACCCTCTTGCGTTGGTACATCTGCTCCCCCAATCCACTGCCCAAGCATTGAAATCTCCTCCAATGACGATTGGTCTCCGTCGGGTGAGCTCCCCGGTGAGCTTCATCTAGCATCTGGTGAAACTGCTCCATTGTCCATCTCGGGGGTGCGTAGCAACTACATACGAAGGTTCCATAATTTTGGCGATCACAAAACCTTCGTCACCACTTCTTGCATGGGATACCTTGTATTGCCGCCATCCCTGCTCTATCGGCCGCCCAGTTATCGTTATCGAGGGGGACTCGATACGGCTCTACAATCATTGCAACGTCGCTCTTTGTTTCCGTTGTCGACTGCCACAACAGTTGCTGTGCTGTGTCACAATGATTGAGATTTATTTGGGTTATCTCCCACTGGCCGACAGTGTTATTAAGGAAAAATTCTCTCTACAATGTCGCATTTATAGTCATTGTAGACAGCTTTAGTCCGGGAGTTAGAAGGCGATAGCTCTATTGCAGATCCAGCAACCCATTTCAGAATGTCTGGAGAGTCACGCCCATTCCGAGGTTACTTTCATTTACAATATAGATCTGTTCAAGATTTTGAAACATCTTCAACCCCCATCTCAGATGGAGATCTTCAAATATTTCACAGTGTTCACACACACAGTGTGATATTTTGTATTTTACTAGCAACAACGCTATAGCCGGCGCCAGTGGTGTAGTGGTAAGCGTGACTGCTTTCTAACACCCCATTGGGTCTGGGTTCAATCCCAGCCGAGGTCGGTGGGATTTTTCTGAGGCATAAAAATCTCTGGTCACGTCTTCGTTCGGAAGGGAAGTTAAGCCGTTGGTCCCGGCCCATGTGTGTAGAATGGGTGCGATATCCTACGCAGGTGTGGAAGCTGCCTTCCTGCACATTCGATTGCCGTCAATGGATGGCAATCGATGTCCGTCGGTGATTGGCACTAGATTGCGGAACAGAGACCGACGTTAAATAAAGGAAAGAAGACTAGCGACAACGCTCTGATGAGACAACGAATCTCCACTCCATGCTCTTCCCCTGAACCTATACTTGGACAATGTACTTCTCTAACCTCGGGTAAGCCGCGAGTATTCGACGCAACTCCTACTAGGCATAGAAATAAGTTAATTTAGTTACAAACAATGAACAATGAATTATAGGCTCTGTAAAGCTAACGCGATTGAGCCTTCTTAATAAACGAACTTGATAAAAAAAAATCTTGAGTTTTTCAAAAGTTGCCTTCAGTCTAATTGCTGTTGGCGTAATAGCTCTATAGTATTTTTGCATCAATCTGAGTACCGAAGTATGAACATTCAAAATGAATGTTGGCATAACATTGCTCATTTAAGAAAGCAAACCTAATTACGACCCTCACTTGCTCCACCTATGACCATACGATAGTTAGAATACGGAAAAATCTCTTACCTTGCGGACTAGCTTGACTGGGGAAACTGGATGGCGACACACTCGAGCCCTGTAGGCGACCTGGAAGTGGAATTTGCACAAAAACAGAAAAAGGTTTTTCCTCGTTATTCACACCGTTATTCGGTGGCTGTGGGCGGGCGAAATACTTACGATTAACGGGTCCACTGCTCGATATACCCGAGTCCATAGATAGCGTCAACGGACTCCTCACCGATTCACGACCATCAGCTTGACTTCTTATCTGTGTATGAGTCTGCTGCTGTTGTTGTTGTTGTTGTTGTTGTTGTTGTTGTTGTTGCTGTTGCTGCTGCTGCTGCTGCTGCTGCTGACTTTGGTTCAATGGGTTCTGATTCTGATCGAACGCACTACTGCTCCCATTCCCTATCACATCTCGGTAGTTACCAGCACTACTACTACTAACAATATTACCACTACTTTCACTATGACTAATATTAGCACTCTCACTCACTACTTGTCCCCTGTTTGCCTGTTGGTAACCTTGCTGCTGTTGCTGCTGTTGTTGATACGCACTTCCGTTCACAACGGGACTCGTTGTACTATTATTATTGTTGTAGGGGGTGGTGGTGGTGGTGGTAGCACTTTGGTAACCGCGTTTGGCACTTTCGTAGATGGAATAACTCGCTGAGGACGAACTCCGCGGCGGAGGCGTCACCGGTGGCACGTGATGGCCGTTCGGAATCGACTTTCCGTTACTGAACTCGGCCGGCGGAGAGATCAGCGTCTGAGGGGGACCACCGCTTCCGGTAGGAGATTTCGGGCTCTTGAGAATCGTCGCGTACAGGGAACCGTCCAGTGGTCCGTGCGTGTGGCTAGATTCGTCTGAAATGAATCGAAAAGGAACGAGTTGGTTAGATCTCGGTAAAATGAACAGACAGAGCGATAAACATCAAGTCATCTCGTGTTGTAGACCCGAATGTAGACGGCCTTCTTCTTTTCGGCCGCATAGCATAGCGGGTCGATCGGGTTTTTGGAATTGATGGTGGGCTCCTTACGGGAGGTCCATATAAGGAGGCTTGATTACCTTCCGGTCGTGTGTGGCACAGTGCTGCGACTGGTCAAAAGTTCATGTGCCGAACCACGCTTGGGGAGCTAGGAGAGGGATAGATATCGATCGCAGCGGCCAAAGAATCGAAACCGGGGAAAAGTGCACAATCATGAACCGTTTTATATTCAATGATTATTTTTATATATTTCCAATCAAGCTTCAATTGGCAATTAGCGATGTTTTTTTAAGGGGTGTTTAGAGTTTGGCAAATGATGAATTCCGTTTACAGTAGGTGGCCTTAGATGGAATGCGAGTTTTAGGCAAGGTATGTACAGTCCACAGACAATTGAATTGAACAAAACTACAAGGGACAGCCCTAAGGGGTTTGTACGCAATGGTGACGTAGGACTACAAGGACCCATATAATAAATTTTATTTGTTAACTGCAGCAGGAGTTGCAGCTTTAAAGCAAGATCATGCTGGGGGCGGCTGGGTTCGATTCTCGGTCCGGTCTAGGAATGTTTCGGGTTAAAACATTTCTCGACGTGTATTACAGATTTGCATGGAAAGTTTGCAAAAATTATACGTCGTAAAACCAAAACAAGCAGAATAAGGTGCTATCTCACGCCAGTAGTGCAGCAGATTAATAAAGGTCAATAAAGCCACACAAACACGCTTAACCCATATCTAATCGAAACATGCGAAATTCGTCAGCAAAACAAACATTCGATACACGATAAACATAAAATCATAAATCTTCGTATAATGAGCTGATCCCAACCAGATGCAACCGGTTCTCATCGCACGGATACTGGCAAGCACATTGCACGATAGCACCGTCTTCATCATGTTCCGAACGATCCGGGGGACGGACATTAATGGGTTCATAATTAAAAGAGCATGAGAGGTGAACGATTATTGATAATTAATTTGGTATTAGACATTAGGCAAGCTCACACTACTGGCTCCACATTGTGCGTGTTATGCGATGGGAATCTTACACGGAGCCACTCGTTTGTGTCAGTCAGCCTGCAGCAGATCATAATAACCGCTACGGAGGAGGAGGCGGAGGAGGAGTTTCGTAATCTGCTTTATTGGGTTTACTTTTCTAGACATGAGACCAGTATACCGGTTGCATTTTTGGCTATACAAGTGTCACACATTTTGGAAATTTCCAGTCCTGGCTACTGAATATAGGTTATAGTTGCGCAAATACAGTTTAATTTTTATGTGAATTATACAGACATAGGGGAAATGGCTCTAATATTTGGAAAGCAAATATGCGCCAATCGATGAAACATTTCAATTTTTCATACACGCTTACTTCAGCTTACTCACCGGGTGAGTCGATCGTTCTCAATTTTGTCTGATGCATTAGGTTGTCAAAATCTGAGTAAACGAGAAATGTCAAAGTAAAAGCCATTCAGTCAGCCAAATCCTGGACTTAGAAAAAAATCCAGCCGTGTCAGAGAGAAACGGCTAAATTATCGTATATCACCGACCCAAATGCATTAAGCTAAGTAGGAATTGCATACGGAGACGATTTTCAGTCGTCTTCAGCTCCAGTTAAATTTAATCTGGAGCAGGTAATTTCCATTTTTTATCAAAACAAATAAAAAAAAAAAACAAACTTCTCGGCTGAAAATATCACAGAGTGGTTTTGAATCACTAGGCGCGAGAACGTCGTTTACTCAAAAGTTTGTTAAAGTCGCCTACTCATTTGAGTAGGCATACTTCCCGCTGAAATGAGCATCCCAACAAACAATTTTAGCTGCAGATTAAAGACTGGGACGCGCAAAAATTGGTCGACAAAAAATCGTTTCTTTCAGTCAAAATTCATATCACAAAAATCTTCTTATTTTTCTTTTGGTAGTTCAATTCATATATTTAAAGGAAAAAATGTTCGTTTATTCTTTTGGTTTGCCAAATCCTAACTGCCGCACCTTCCACTTAACCCCTTCCATTAAATGTTGCACAGTGGTCTCATCGACCTTATTCGCCGCCAAACGCCAGTTAGATTTAAACTGCTGTTCGTTTTCCATAGATTTAGTTATTAGTTTTTTGATATTCCTTTTGACCAAGGCCCAATACCGTTCGATAGGGCGGAGTTCTGGGCTGTTGGGAGGGTTGTGGTATTTAGGTACCACAACCACGTTGTTCGCATCGTACCACTCGATTGCCTTTTTCCCATAGTGGCAGCTCGCCTTGCCCGGCCAGAACAGCGCAGGTCTATTATGTTGCTTTAGGAATGGTAGCAGCCGCTTTTCCAGGCACTCCTGGACGTAGATCTCTTGATTGACGGTTCCCGTAGAAATGCAAATGCCGCTTTTTAGACCACACGTGCATATGGCCTGCCAGACGAGATATTTTTTTTCGGGAACTTCGATAGTTTGATGGTTTTGAAAATTTCAGCCACTTTCCCTTTTTCTGATGCTGTATAAAACTGCTGTCCGGAAGCTGCTTGAAATCCGCCATCACATAAGTTTCGTCGTCCATGACGACACAGTCGAACTTTGTGAGCAGATTCGTATACAGCTGTCGGGACCGCTGCTTTGCCGACGTGTTTTGCCACCTTTAACTTCTTAAACGTCGACAACCCGGCTCGTTTCTTGGCTCGCTGCACAGTAGTATGGGAGACATTGAGCTTTCCAGTGACGTCCCGGATGGAGAGGTTAGGATTCCGCTTATATTTCACCGCCACCTTCTTTGTCTGGATTACGATTGCCACCACTTCCAGGCTTCCTGGCGGTCGACAGATGCTCCCGAACACTTTTAGAACATTTGTCACGGTCGATTTGGCCACATCCAGCAATTTTGCCAACTTGGCGTGTGAGAACGTCGGATTCTCTTGCTGCGCGAGCAAAATTTGGGGAACTGCTCCTCTTGCTTGGACGTCATTTTGAAAACTGGAGAGCAAACGGTGACAACTCATCATAGCAACCATTGTATATACACTCAACTTCCAAATGCAGCATTTCAGGATTTATTTTTAAGCATTTTAACAGAAATACACCAATTTGAAGTTGACCAATTTTTGCGCGTTCTAGACGTTAGCTTATACAACTAAAAATGGGCTTTTACAGCTGATGTTTGCCTGTATAAGCTAATCTACAGCTAGAATTGTTTGTTGGGATGTTCGACTCAATTTTAAGTTGTTGCGAGTTACCGTGTAGAACAATCCGTCATGTGGACAATTAATATTGATGCTTTTAAAAAAAATGTCAGAATATATTTCCATTCAAAATGTATGTATAGACCGAAATTAGGGACATTAACTCTATCTGAAAGTTTGTGAGATTGGTAAGCGTTCAAACATTTGTATAGACGATTGTCTACGCCTGGGAAAGGCCGACCCCCTCCTCAAAAGTTTTCTGAGCAGCCCTATAGAGAAAGATCAAGACAGAGAGAATACTGTGATATAGAGAACTATGGGAATCTGAAGAGTGTCACCGTTTTGGCTCCTATACCCTACTTATCCACTTCGAGCGAGATAAATCAGGAGTATTTTTATCGCTGTCAGTTTTTCGAAAGTTGAAAAAATGGCGTCACACGAAAAGCAACGTCGCGATTTGATTTTGCGCAAGCACCTGGAAAATCCTCAACTCTCTCATCGGGACATCAACAACTCGGAATCGTGCAGTCAGGAGTCGTGTGATCAAACGTTACTACGAAACTCTGAGCATTGAACGGAAGGCGAAATGCGGTCAGAATGGATGTTCTGTTAATGATCAGGATCACGAGCGTGTCGTGATAGCGTTTAAGCGGAGTCCCAATGCTTCGGTCAGGGATGTGGCCAAAAAGTTGAATCTGTCCAAGTATTTCGTTCAGAGAGCCAATAACCGGGAGGGACTGCATACGTACAAAGTGCAGAAGGGTCCAAATCGTGAAGAACGGCAAAAAACGGTGTGAAAGTCACGGGCCCGGAATATGTACACCCAGATGCTGACGAAGCCTCATTGTCTCATCATGGATGATGAGACTTACGTCAAGGCGGACTTCCGGCAGCTTCCGGGGCTACTGTTCTTCACCGCCCAGCACAAGTTTGATGTTGCGGAGGAAGTAAGGAAGCAGAAACTTTCAAAGTTTGCCAAGAAATACATTATTTGGAAAGCGATCTGCTCATGTGACAAACAGAGTGCGCCGTTCGAGATTACCGGGACTGTAAACGGTAAGATCTACCTCAAGGAGTATCTACAGAAGCGTCTGCTTCCTCTGTTGAAGCAACACGAGGCCCCAACACGCTAGTTTGATACCATTCAAGTAAGGAAGTTAAAAGAGTTCCGAACAAATACCGGCAAATACTGCCAAATACAGAGTTAGGTAGGACCTAATTAATAACCCAGTAGCGGAATTCCCAGCCCTAAGACCACATCTCATATCCACCTCAGGATCCATTAAATACGGGCTTAAAAGGTATTGCGATCCAGCCACACAAAAAACGTTGGTCGAAAAGTGTGAGGGCGAACGCTATACTGCCACATTGCACCCGTTTAGCAAGCGTCGATCGGCAAGCTACCGATGACCGCTTTAAACCAACAACAGGTGAACAGCAAGTCCACCGTCGACATCCGTAGTACCACACTGTGACAACCGTCGAACACTGTCATCCTCCGGGAACGCACTATTCAGCCGCCGCCGAGAAGCTGTAGAATCCCGTCATCGCTGGCCAGCACTGCACACACCCACACTACAGACACCGATACCGTGAGTAATAGAATAGTTAAAAATGAAGACAAGGTGTTTTTGTGCGTCGGATCAGTATCGACAAGCCAGGAGCCGACCTTGAAGCTCTAGGGTTTCGAGCTTGAGCTAGCCAACAAAAGAGGCGAGTGTA